ACTGAAAAGTAGCAGTTTGTCACACTTGAACTGCCTTCTCATCTTCTAAAAGTATGGTTGTCTGAAAGATATACTCATCTCCACTTTGGACCAGTCTACACATGCCACATTACAGGGCATGAAATTTTACAATTTGTCAGTATTTACATTTTTCTTTTTCTTTTTTTTTTTTTATAAAACATATAATAATTCTTTTTAGACTTTAATTCTAAGTCAAAGAATCAAGAAACTCGACACAACTTAGAGTGGGCCTTCTTTTCGCAACATCACTAATATGAAAACTATATTCTAGTGATGACAAAAAAATTTGCTCCGTCCAGCCTCCAATGGGGAGAAAAAACCTACCCCTACGGGTTGGTAGGGTGGGGATCGCAGCCCCATCTCGGGTCTCGGGGCGGGGCGAGGCGGGGTGGAGATGCCCCTGAACTCGCCCCTTGAAGAATAAAAAATTGTTTTGGATATTGTTTATTTCGAGTGCTTACTTTGGATATTAATGTGTTAGTTTGAGTATTATTTGCTTTGAATTTTAAAATTTTGAGTTTGTATTTTAATTGAAAATTTTTGAAAAAATTGGGGGGAGGCCCGCATCAGCCCCACTGTGTCATAGACGCGGAGGGGGAGTGGTGCCATCTCTACTGTATTCCATGGTCAACTTCCCCAATAAAAATAGGACTGGCTAATAATTCCAAAGGAATTGATATTATATATATATTTTTCAATTTTGTGGAGTTCGTATTTGTTTCTAGATTTTCCTGAGTTCTAATTAAAGATTTATTTACTTATTTATATAATTTCTATAGATGATAAAAAAGGTCTATGACCTAGATTGGTGATCTCCATCAGACTTTAATATGGGTGCTGTCTTAATGTTGGTAAAATTGTCGAAGTTGTGTCCACACGGAAACCATGGAATGAGTAAAAACAATAATTTTATTAAGCGTGTGTCTGGGCGAGCTGTCTTCCACTTTTAATCGATTATTTTACCGTTTGAGTTACTGTAAAATGGAGCCCACTTGTATTTAGTTTAGATAAAAAAAAAAAAATTGATAAAAATTTAAATTAAGATTAATAATTAATTTTAACCATATATTTCATGAAACATATAATTTTTTTTCAAAATTTTAATTATATATTTCATTAATTGTTATCAAAATTTATTATAATTATTTTTTATCTTATCCAAACGGGAGCTAAGACATGTTTTGCTTGCTCTATTTTTTGGACCATAATATGGTACCACCAATTGATGCTCGCCCTATAAAGAAAAATAAGGGATAGTTTGATTGTAAGAATGAAATTTAAGTGGAAAGAAAATAAATTTCAGGACATTAAATTGTCTAGAACTTGTTTTATTGGGAATTGTCGGTTAATTATATTTGATTGGTATAATTTTGCACCTGAAAAATATTAAAATTTTGGATCTTTTGGTATTCGTTTGACTTTGTTTTCCTTGAAAATTGTCCATTAAATTGATAGAATTTATTATAATTTGGGATAAAATTTGTTTCAATTGTCAAAGGAAAAAAAAAATCTTCCTAGAAAAGCTTTTCCCACCAAACCCATGGGAAAAACTTTTCCTCAAAAAGCAAAAAAATGTGGAAAACAAATTCTATAGAAAATTTAATCAAGCAAACATGCAAAAATGTAGAAATGAATTTTAATTTTCATCTTCCA